GGGGGGGGGGGCGGTTAGGGTGATATTTTGAGACAAGGTTGGAGATATAGCCGAGGGCAGAGTTGTGGATAGCTTTACAAGCGATTGTCAATATTTTGAATTGTATCCTTTGGGCAAGTGGAAGCCAGTGCAGGGATCGGCAGAGGGGGGTGGTGGAGGGAAGCCAGTGCAGGGATCTGCAGAGGGGGGTTGCAGACACTGAGCGGTTGGTTAGGTGGATGAGTCTAGCAGCAGCATTCATGATAGACTGAAGGGGGGATAGCCTGTGTAGAGGTAGACCAATGAGGAGGGAGTTGCAATAGTCAAGACGAGAGATAATAAGTGAGTGGATGAGTAATTTAGCGGTTTGTCATCATTGAGTCCAATTGAATTTGGTCAGTTCTGGGCATGTCTTCATGTAGACGCTTACATTTATGGCTAATCGTTCTTGGGTGAGTCAACAAACAGTTAGAATGATTTTTGCGGTCATCTAATTTTTCTCCAAAAGCAAAATTCAAATACAAGTTTCTAGATTAGCAAATGCCAAAGTCCCACTCTGGCCAGGGATTCACCGACACCCCTCTATAACTAATTAAGCAAATTAATTAGTTACATGTTCACATTCACATAGCATAACATATTAATATTTTTTTTAAATGCGGTTTCCATTTTTAGGTGCTTGTTATTTGCTTAAAAATCCTAGCCAGCTTCCTCCCCATGTACTATTAAGGGAGGGGGTGTGGATTTAATGTTTACCATAATTAGCCCCGTCTTTACTGTGCTGGTAGATTTCATTAGGAGTTGTAAACTAGATTTGAACACAGTCTGTCCTAACAAAGGGTCAAAGATGTCAGAGAGGAAAGCTCATTGTGTTCCTAGTATTTCTATGGGAACAGACTACCTTTAAAACTGTTCAGAATAATTTGCAGTCGGCACAGAGGCCTCCACCAAAGCAACATCTAAAAGGTAAGTAGTATCTTTAAAATGTTTTAGGTATGCTATGTGAATGGGAATACACAAAACATATAGTGGGGACATTTCTCAAAATTTGACTGGAAATGCACTTTAAATCCACATGGTGCGCCGCAAACTGGATGAAGTCTTGATAAGGAGACCAGTTGGGGCAGGCACGGACTGCAACACTGGATCCCCACATGGATGCTGGACTTAGCGGAGTAAAACACAGTGTTGTAAGCATTCTATTTTTAAAGATAGGGGGGGACGGACTAATCCCAGATAGATATAGGCTTTATGAATTCTTTAAATCATCACAAATAAACTAACCATTTCTATACACTCCAACCTTGCACACTTTATCCCAGAACTGCAAAGAGCTGCAGTCTTACCACTCTGCTGTTACTGATGTCAAAAGAGAGGCATTTGTGAAAAGATTACAGAAAGATATAAAGAAAAATGAAATAGTAAAAAGGACTTACTTTGTCTGAAGCTTCTGATGCCAAGAGATTGGTAGCAAGGGTCTGCAGTTTGTGATGTGCCACAGTTTTCAGTGCCGCAAGACTACGCCTGGTCATTGCCTGTTTTAAGTTGACTGCGGAATGGCTGAGTGCATCCACGGCAGCAGGAACTGCCTCATCACAAGCATTTAGTATTTCTACGGCTGTTATACCCATGACACAACGATCCAATGCACCTTAAAAGAAGGAAAAAAAAAATGTCTAAACATGCTGAAAAAATACCACAGATGGCAGGTGGACTAATCTACTGGTCTCCTGACTGTACAGTGGCACCATGGAAAGTCAATATAAAGATGAGGATAATTATGTTTTTTCCCATAAGTGTTGTCCTTTGGCATATTACAGAGGATACAATATAAAAGTATATTGTGCTCTCAGCAACAAAGCAGCGCACAGCACCGTGAAAAAGCAAACTGTGAACCAATTATGCCCCCCGTTCTAACCATTCGCTTTTCTGTATCCCTACTGAATAGATTCTCATCATGCCCCGTCCTAATGGAAGCAAAGGGAAATCTTAAACAGGTACAAAGACTCAATAGTAACTTGATAGAGGTTCTAATGATTTCACATTCTGTCCAAAACAAAAATACTAAAATTTTGGCTGGAGTTAAGCTTTAAAAAGCCCAAGCGTGATTGAACATATCGGCATTCACCAAAAATTTCTAGAGAGGACATTGTTTAAAACTTTTAAGAAACCAGTGGATTTCTCAACTCAAAACCATACAACTACAGTAAACTAAGCTGTTAGCTTAATAAACAGGGAATGTCTATTGTTTTTTTAATACATTTCTTTCATGCTGACGATGTCTTTCAATAGAAGAGATAAAGTAAATTATTTAGAGGCCACCACAGACATCCAAGGACATTGATGGTGCTCACCAGGTCCCTATACCCAAGTAGTCACTTCAAGTGATACCTCCAGCATCAGCTCATCTGGAGAAAATCAAAGTGACTGAACTTTGTTTTCCAATGTTGTCTGTTCATGACCTAGACATTAGGATTGTTTCGGTTATCCAAATTCTATGGGCACCATAGGACACTTCCAAAAAGAATAAAACACACAATTGAATCTGGTATTTGGTACAGTAAAATCATTTCAAGCATTTTTACACATAACTGGGAAAAATAGTCTTGAGATCAACATCTTAAAATCCCCTGTGCAGCAAATCGCAGACTGAGATAGCTGGGCTCTACTGCACAGCATAGGAACTGGAAAAAGTAAAACCACACTGACATTGTTCGTTTATTATCCATTCATAGGCTGTAGTGAGTCATAGACCAGACTGTATTGCTCAGTGGCCAAAGAGCCAGGAGTGCCTGGATGACTCAGTGGAAAAAGAGCCAGGAGTGCCAGGATGATAAGACCTGCTAAAGTTTGTATTCGGGTTACAGAGTAATTGTGCAAAGTACTGTAATGTTATGAGGAGTCAGTGAAATGATCATATAGTAGCTTTATGATGACTCTAACTAAACAGATGCAGAGTGAAAATTAAAAATGCCCTCAAAAAATCAGAATGGCAAGGAGGCATAAATCTAGCACAGAGCAATATATAAACAGACCAAAGAACTACTGCAATCAAAGAAGCTGCCAATGAGCAGGTTCCCAATAAAGGCACTAGGTAACAGAACAGTGCAATCTATGAGATGCTCAGAGAAATGCTATTAGAACAGTAAAGAACAAACGACTACTTGCATTGTCCCTTGGGCAATACCTCTCTCAAAAGGAGGTAGACTGTGTATGATAGTGTAGGGAGCCAGGTGAATGGTTCCTTGGACCTGTTTCGAAGGCAAGTGACATGAAGAGCCTCTGGTGTGGACATCCAAGTAAATTAAATTAGGTGCAGGACCACCACAGAATCCCTATATACGTAATTTGGTGGCCGAAGCCATGCAGCACAATTGCAGCTGGCTGAGCCTGTTCCAGCATGGGCACTGGGCTATAGGGCTAGTACTTGCCCAATGGAGGAAGTCAAATACAGTCAGTTTTGGAAGGAAAAGGAAGAGCCCTAAAACATGTTGTTAGGGATGGCAATGTGGGGCCTGTCCCACTGAGCAACTGCCTAAAATATTTGGCCCTTCCTTGCATAGGGACAGTTGTGGCTGGTTCACAGTATTATCAAGGTCATAGCTGCTTCCCTCCCCTCTATATGCCAGCCACCACTGAGGGTGTAGGGATTCTGCATCTACATTTGCATGATTCTTGCTAGTTGTCTGTGACTGATCTTCACACCTTTTTGCTTGCTTCATTTTTGTTTTTTGTCTACAGTATACACCATTACTGTTAAATTTTGTTGCTGTATTCCTAGCACAGGAAGAAAAAAGTATGGTCATAAAGACAACCGTTCTCAACTGCTGTTCACACCAGGGCATAATAGAGAAAAAAAGTGTTTGGTACCCTGGAGCTCCGATATACCATGTATATCCCTTTGTATTAATTGAAATAGGTCATCTAGGTCAAGTAACCGGAGTTAATGAGCACAAAAAAATGGTAACAGTGTTCTCAAAGGAGAGGACACTGTTGAGAGATGGTTACTAAACAGACCGAGACCTTTTTCTTGTAAAAATATAAACTTTATTTGTTACAAAATCTCATATTTATCGCACCCGTAATTCCATTTCTATAGCAAAATCTACATATAAAAAAACAACGTTGTCCATAACTTTCATACATGCATACTTCCATACATACTATGCACAGATTGCGGCAGTTATTATTTTCAAAACTTTTTACAGAGGGAATTCTCCCAATATAGCTTTTAGACCCTCTCGGTACTTTTTCCTCTTTGAAAATGTAGAAAATTCAGCAAAAAGAAGGGGG